ATTATGGGGGGAAAAAAAATCTAAATTGTGAGAGAAAAAGTAAAAAATTTAAGGGTTAATTGGTTGGCTACAAATTTTATTTATTAATTATTTAAAAAGGTGAGTTAAAGAAAGTCAAAATTATTAAGTATGACAAAAATGTAAATTGTGATTTAAGCAGTTAATATTGTAAGATTTAAAAAAAAATCTATATTGTGTTAGAAATCCAAAATTATGAGATGAAAAATATTATGAGATATAAGATTTTTTTTAAAAGGTGAGAAAAGCCTGAATTATGAGATTTTTTTTTTTAAAAAAAGAAGAAAAAAAAAGGCAATTGTCAGATAAAATGTCAATTAAATTATGGGATAAATTAAAACTAGAGTTCAACATCAAGATACAAAGGAAAGATTGTGAGATCATAATTACAGGTTGTGAGTTTAAACATCAAATTCTGATCAAAAATTCTGATTAAAAATTCTGATTAATAATTCGAAATTGTGAGATAAGTTTTTAAAAAATGAGGTAAAAGTCAAAATTAGAATTTAAAAAGTTTGAGTTACAAAGCCAAAATGATGAGAGAAAAAGTCAAAATTAAGGTACAAAGGAAACATTGTGAGATAATAATTAAAAGTTGCGAGCTTTTATGTCAAAAGTCTAAATTGTCATATAAAATGTTTAAAAATTGCGAGATAACAAGTAAAAACGGAGTCAAAAATGTCAAATAATGATTAAAATATGTTACAATTCTAAGTTTTAAAGCCACATTTATAAAATAAAAAAGTTTGTTTAAAATTGTTTAAACCATGGCTGTGTTTTCTCTTTGATTTTAACAATAAAATATATAAAGTTAACAATTTTTTTGAATTAAAAAAAATGTGAATTTCCCTTCTGGGATAAATAAAGTATTTTTAATTTCATTCATTTCATTTCATTTCATTTGAAACCTGTTGTTACTCTTCAGATCCAGCAGGAGGCGACAAACAACGACGACCTCACCGAGCATGCGCGCTCAGCTTAACCCGGAAGTGTATTTAGTAAACAAGCCGCCGGACCGCGACGCCTCCGAGATCAGAGTCCAGCTGCTCGTTGAAGCTCCGCTCCGCTCCGGTTCACCGCCACAGTCCGCCGCTGAAATGTCCAAAATCGAGATGCTGAGGCTGCTCATCAACCAGCGGCTCACGGCGGCCGCGGAGGAGATCTTCGGGGTGTTCGGGAGGACCATAGCGGAGTACGAGGAGGAGATCTCCCGCTCCAAGCTGGAGATCGACCGCCAGCGCCGACTGCTGGACCTGTCGAGGCAGCCGCGGATCTCCCTGCAGGTCGACGGCGCAGGTCGGTCACACATCCTCCACACACGAGTGACACAATGACTGACCCACAACTGGAGAAAACACACTTTATATCAGGAACACGCTGTTTTTATCCCAGATAATTAATTAATTGAACCCTGAACACCTGTAAGCACTGAAACATGGAGGTAAATGGGATTCATGAGGAATAAGAGCTCCAGGTCACAATCAGGGACTATTTCTTCAGGAGAAAGTGGTTAAAACTGAATAAACTGTCCTCAGTGTTGGTTTATAATTTACTACAAACTAAATTCTGCTCACCTTCATTTTACTGCTGGCTGTTTAGAAAGTAGTTCTCAACTTTTTCAACATTTTCTGTGCATGCTTCCTGTAGCTTTGAGTTAATTTGCATGAACCAATTTGCTAATTGAATTTGAAGACAAAAGCTTCACTGTGAAGAAGAAGAACGATGATATTGCATCTCCCTAAATGTGATCTACGACTGTTTATTAGACCACAGCAGACCTGATAGCGCTGATGATTTAGTTAGTGTCTATCATAGGCTGGATAATCACAGCGTTTTTCTTTTTTAAAATTTTTTTAAATAATTTAATGCACACAGTAAATTCTATGTTAAGCTGTGACGTGTCGTAGCGATAAAAAAGCTAAAAATTCACTCTAGAGGGCTTTTAAATCACCATAATTTGTGTGTAGAGTCATCAGATAATCCAAATTAAATCATAACTCAACAATGTCTAAAAGAAGAGCCAAACATCTCCCTCGACTCCACCGAGAAGAGCCACGGGAGAGGCGGGAAACTCACAGAGGTCGAATAATTATTTCAAAACCTGGATGCAGACCAATTCATTTGTACTTTTTTTTTTGTTTAACCTTTATTTTACCAGGTACGTTAGTTGAGAACTGGTTCCCATTTCCAATAACGACCTGGTCGATAGGGCTGGTCCGAATCACAATTTCTGTTCTCCGGATATTCGGCCCTATTAATGACAAATATCCCGAATGTTTGGGAGGGGCGGGGGTGTCGCGTAGTCGGGGTGGCGGGTGAGCATTCGTTCCAGGGGTGGAGGATCAAAATTTATATCCCGATTCCAGCACAGCAAACGAATAGTCGACTACTCAGGTCCAGCTCTACTGGTCGAGAGGCGGTGTACGAACAAGATGAACAACAAAAACAGACTACAGCAACTCACACAACATTACGAAATAAACTACGCAAAGACTAAAACAGAGAGGCTAGAAGTGTTACTCTGGCTGATTTTTTTTTAAACAATGAGAGCGGTATGCATGAGGTGAGTTTAGGGATTGTTGCCAATTTTTATCGTTAATGTCATTTGTATTAAATTCTGGAAACGC